ATGTGGAGCAAGAGTGGACAGATCGGACTGCGGTGGGAGAATACTGTACAGACGGATTCTAACGAAGATGTTTGAGTTCATTTGATGTCACATTGGATAGGTCAATAGAAAAGCGATAGTTCTCACATGCCTGTTGTCATTAATAACTCCCAAGTGCAGATTGTAGGAGTCCAAGTTTCCGGGTTTAACTCTGACCTTGCCTGCCCTTATCCATCCGTAAACATCGGTCATTTATTAGTTCCTATTTTTTTTTTTCTTTATTAAAGACAACAAAACAGACAGACACATCAACACTCAACAAGAACCACAAACAAACATAAACAAACAAAGCTTTTTACATAACACACATACAGAGACAGATACAAATTGGTTCTTGAGGGCATTTATTATTTCCTACATGTAGGTCTGGGTCGGCTCCCAGTGTCTGCAGTTACCTCTGTTGTATCCATAGACTGTATATATTAAAGGACGTAGTCACGCCTATCTCAAACAACGCCGTTCAAACAAATGGGGCAAAAATAGTGCTCTACTGGAGCTATCCAAACTGGCTGCGAGTGGTCCCTCTCACAAGAAAATTGTGAAAAAACACATTTGCGTATGCGTCGGCCGGCACAAGCTCCATTCATTTAAACGAGTGACTTCAGAAATTCACAGCAAGTAAACTAGAGTGGTTCAAAAAACTTCACTCCCCTCAGCATTGACACACATGTGGAACGGAGCTTTGGGCCAAGAGCCAACTTTTGGACCATCCTGTAAAGACGTTTTCGAGAGGTCGCATTGGCTAATTCTTCTTCTGGGTCCACCCCCATCGGCCCGGGGTGGTCTTGCAAACATGTCAGCGCACGTCATTTTGGCCACTTATGAGCCGGGACCTGCCCCCACTGGTTGTATCCCAGCTGACCAATCAGCGAGCGGGGAAGGCAGGTGTGGTAGGTAGTTGTTGTGACGTCAAGAGTTTTTCTGCGAGTGACAGTGACATTTCACCAAAGACTGTTCCAGAACCACTGCAACTAACGCCGTATTTCACTGTGAACTAAATAACATCAGGGGCTCTCACATAGGGGCTCTATGTGACGGATTGCTGTTGTAAGAAAAAGTTTATCTCAGGTCACAGGCAGAGGAGCACAGTTCAGCTTGTTTCACATGAGCTGACAGCTCCTCTATGCACAAAATGGTATCACCCAAATTATTATCATGTGAAAATTGACGAAAAACAAGTGATTCCCTGGGTGTACCACACTTTGACTCATTTTTAAAGTCAGATTTTGTTTCAACCTTTCTATTATAAAATCTCAACAACCAACCAACTACTGGCACGCGCACACACACACACACACACACATCCACACCCCCCAAAATGGATTCAACCAGATTAGAATATCCCCTCCCCTCCCTACTTTCCTTTAGTCCTTATCTGTATGAATCTTATGTAAATATTGATTGGCAATATTTCTGTATAATGCAATTTGTCACTTCCTTGATGGATGCTTCCAAATATAGATTTATCGGAATAAAAAAAATCAACATCTTTTTACCGCACTATTCTACTCAAAAAACTCCTGATCGCAGTGGGAGAAAGTGCAAGAGTAAAGAATGCAGATAGATTTCGGTTTGCATTTCTTCAAACTCAGAAGTATTCTTTTCTATTGACAGAGGACGCGCGGCAGACTATATTTTGCCGCGCTGATCTGCGGAGTCAAATCACCTTCAGCCATGACATAATTACCGTGATGAAACAGTGGTAATGGAGGCTAGCGTTTGTCAAGTGTTTATTGAGTCAGAACACATCATCAACGGGCACGGCCTTGGTCCCCAGGCATTGCGTCCATCCCATAATGAGCTCTGGGGGGGGGTGCTTTTTCTCTGGTAATAAATAACATGTGAGGAAATCTGAAGGCTGCCTCTTACAGTCGTGTTTCTTCTCTTTCTTCCTCACTCTTCCTTTTCCAGCGTCTGCTACTATAATGTCTTCCATCTGCCGGATCCCACCTCCCCTCCTGCTTTTCCAAACGCCGTTTTCTTATCTTTGCATGAGGTGAAGTTTCCACACGGTGATATTCGAGTGGGCCGGCGCTTCCCGCTGTCAGAATCAGAGAGGACACAGCCAGAGCTAGAATTCTTTGTTTTCGGATTTAGTGTTTTCTCGACCGCATTAAAACCCCATCGCTCAGGATTCCCTCAAACCAGACCTTGACACAGCTTTTATTTGTTCATTTATTTATTTGACAGGGTCGTTGCACAATAAATGTATTATTCAGATTTATTGCTATTATCATTATTATTATGTAAGGGATAACATATATTACGCAGGTCATTATCGAAAAATAAGTACCTTCGGGGCGGAAGCGGACCCCTTCGCGCTTCGCCTTGTCGGTATTTTCCGATAACTGCATGAAAACTGAACAAAGAATTGAACATCAGCGGTGAGTGACCCAAGCATAAACTTAACCTAAATCCATAATTCGATCCTCTGCAAATGTGTCCTAAAATGTGCCGGTATCTTAAAATGTGCCGGTATCTCTTTCCGGGTTTTTCGGGATCGCCTTTTCTAGCATTACATCAGTGTTTTTGTCATGAAAACTTAAACGGAAAATTCTGAAAACTTCCGTGCACTTGTATTAATAATGTATTTGTATAATGTACTCTCCAATTGACATTTAATGGCGTTGATTGATTGGCATTTGCGTTTATTGAGCGTGAAAAGTTCCGGAGTGGCCGAAACTTCTTCCGGGTTTTTCACAATCGCTTTTTGACGCAGATAAATAGTATTTTTGTTATGAAGACAAGACCAGTAAATTCTGAAAATTTCCGTGCACGTGTGTGAAGAATGTATATGTATTCTCCGATTAACATTTAAGTGTGTTGATTTATTGGCATTTGCGTTTATTGAGCGTGGCTAGCTCCTGAGTGGCCGGAACTACTTGCGGAGTTATCCAGACAAGACAAGCAGAGAGTGCGTTGCCATGGGCAGCGGTCATTATGGTTTTGAGAGGTCCGTTACAGAAAATAAGGACCAGAACGTTTTGAAATTACATTCAATGGAGCGTTCTACTGCTGCTGTGAGGAGCCGTATAATAACATTCTATAATCTAGAATGTGCATATGTAGTTTTGTGTGTGCTGTATTCTGCACTATTGCAATATGAAAAGTTTAATTTTAATTGCGTTTTGGGAGTGTGGGTGCTCAATTAAATAAAATAAATAAAATACATACAGGTGCATTACAGGGGAATGGCAACACCCCAAATGTCAAAGAGACACAAAAGATTCAGTAAATACATCCCCTCAGTGTAGGAAGGAGCGCTACCGCAGGGCCTTTATCCCCACCGCTGTCAGACTGTACAATAAGTCACTTTAAATGATCACTGTGTGAAAACCTGCACTACTATTGACACTGTTTCCAATTGACACTTGTCACTTTTGTTGTACATAATTATTGTCACTTTATTGTACATATATCCTGCATGTAACATGTTTGCACATTTCCTCCCTTTGCACAATCTGAGTGTCTCTATCCATGCCAAATGTGACATGTAAATTTCTCCTCTGTGAGATAAATAAAGCAATCTTATCTTATCTTATCTTATCTGATTAATGACGGCACACTGGGTTTTCTTTGAGACATCTTTAGGCTGAGTTTAAACTGTGCCAGTGAGCTGCACTCTCTCACAGACTTAGGTAGTCAGTTCCAGGCCCTCACAGAAGACAGAGGTAGTGAGTTCCAGGCCCTCACAGACTGTAAACCCTGACAAGTAAGGTTTACTTGAAAAAACCTTGGAAATAAATTGCACATTAACTTCACTTGAATTCTTCGAGTACATCCTTTACTTGATATCACCAAGTAAACTCAAGTGATTGCGATAAAGTTTAAATTTTGACTTATGCTTCGACCGGGAATCATACTAAGATTGTTTTAGTTGAGAGGTGAAGGTGCTACACACTCAGCCACCCGGCCACCTTGTTATTTTAACAGCTGCCTTATAAAAGACTACACGTCAAAATGTCAAAAGTGAGGCTTACTTGAACAGAGACAGTTCAATTCAAAGAAAACCCTGAGTGACATAGCCAAGCTTTAAATAAACTAACAATAAATGAGTAATATTTACTTACTGGGAAAAATCTATTTAAAATCTCTTTAATATCTGAAGTACGATTGAAGTTAGGGTTTACAGTGAGTTCCAGGCCCTCACAGACAGAGATTGTGAGTTCCAGGCCCTCACAGACAGAGACAGTGAGTTCCAGGCCCTCACAGACAGAGGTTGTGAGTTCCAGGCCCTCACAGACAGAGACAGTGAGTTCCAGGCCCTCACAGACAGTGACAGTGAGTTCCAGGCCCTCACAGACCTGGCTCAGACCTGGCTCAGACCTGGCTCACATTTCCATACACTCAAATGCTGCGTCTCTTGTTACAGCTGCAGGTAAAAGCTTCAGAAACAGAAAACAGCAATTAACCCCGTTTCCATAGCGATCAGCAAAAATACCAACTCAATATAATATCCTCAATGTTTAAAATTATAGTATTTCCATTGTTTACCATATTCAAACTTAACAAAGTTTCAATAGACTTTCCTATTTTACCTGCAACGTTTATTAATAATTTAAAGCTGGGGTACATAACTTTCTATTGTTAACTTTCAACGATAGAACTCCACATATTTGATCAGCTTATTCAGACAGAAAAGCTGATCTAATAAAGTGCACCTTTAACTTTAGAAAAGTGAAAAAGAGACGGATCCGCACTCATCCAATCAGCTCTCAGCTGAAAAAGAGCCAAATGGTCCCTGAAAGGGCTCTTTCTAACATAAAATATTACATGTTTTCTAATAATATAGAAGACAGCATGTTGTGTCTATTTGTTGACAACATTTTACTTTTAAAAGACTCTTTCTGTTGGACAAACGACATGTTATTAATGAAGCTAAAGTTACGTATCCAAGCTTTAAATTTTCCTTTTATCTAATTGATGACCGCGGAGATGTCTGTACCTGTGCAGAGGCGCAGATGCAGCCACAGTTCCGTAACTTCGTGACACATCCGCGACACTTTGCTGAGCTCCATGAGACTTCAGCGGGGGTTCGAGGCTCTGTTTGCGGCGTGTGGAGGCGCCACGGCCGGGGTCATGGTGCTCCCGTCTACCGGGGGATGGAGGCTGTTGCTGCCCGCCTCCCTGGAGCTCCAAAGCGGAGTGAAGAGGACGGCGACCCGGGGGGAGTGTCATACAGCGCGTACTAAGAGCTAGAGCTACGAGCTCTGGTTGGAGAAAAGCAGCCATCTTGGGACGGTACAACCGATTAGATTAGTTTGGCCATTTTTATTTTTTTCCTCAATAAATTTGTTGTTCTTATTAGTTGTTATGTTGTCAAGATACTAATCTTATACCACAGCGATTTGAAAATTAAATACAAATTGAATTATTAAAATGACACCAAAACAAAGCTGAATTGAGGAGTCAGTCTGGTTAGAGACCGGTTAGAGACCAGAGAGAGACCAGAGAGAGACCAGAGAGAGACCAGAGAGAGACCAGAGAGAGACCAGAGAGAGACCAGAGAGAGAGATATCAGAAGAGTCATTGCACAATGAGCTATTTGTTTAAGTAACTTGATCTCATAAAAACCATACAGTTTGTGCGACAGAAAGAGTCTTGTCAAAGTAAAATTTTGTGAACAAATCCAAAATACGTTTACCGTTTTGCTTTTCTTACAATCACAAGATGGACGCCCAAATTACCATGGAAACAGAACACAAACGCCTTGCTCTCGCGGACTGTCACCGTCCTCTTTTGGCCAGTAGAGGTAACGACAACACAAACTCAGTTATCAGACGTTTATGTGTAAATTAGATTTAAATTAGATTTGAGTATTTTAGTTTGGAAGATAATGATATTGTTACTTGTTTGTTTAGAGCTGGTTTAGAGTCCAGCTCCAGGAAGAGGTCTGAGTCCGTTTTTTTCCAGACCAGAAAGAGCACCAGCTGAAGTGTGCTTCAGCTGGTGCTGAAGTTAAATATGTTTCTGTATTTGAACAGACAAATACAGAAACTATTCACTGATAGAAGTCTGATTCGAGATTACATTTGCAAAACATTCTCAACATTAGAGCCCTAGCTGGATCTACAGCCTCAGTCCTGGATCTACAGCCTCAGTCCTGGATCTACAGCCTCAGTCCTGGATCTACAGCCTCAGTCCTGGATCAATAGCCTCAGTTCTGGATCTGCAGCCTCAGACCTGGATCACCAGCCTCAGTCCTGGATCTACAGCCTCAGTCTTGGATCAATAGCCTCAGTTCTGGATCTGCAGCCTCAGACCTGGATCTACAGTCCGAATCCTGGATCTACAGCCTCAGTCCTGGATATACAGCGTCAGTCCTGGATATAGAGCCTCAGTCCTGGATCTAGAGCCTCAGTCCTGGATCTAGAGCCTCAGTCCTGGATCTACAGCCTCAGTCCTGGATCTAGAGCCTCAGTCCTGGATCTATAGCCTCAGTCCTGGATCTAGAGCCTCAGTCCTGGATCTAGAGCCTCAGTCCTGGATCTATAGCCCGAGTCCTGGATCTACAGCCTCAGTCCTGGATCTACAGCCTCAGTTCTGGATCTGCAGCAGTAGTGCCAGGCTGAGGCCTCCCTCTCTGGTCTTTCTCTCTCTGTTCTCTCTCTCTCTCTCTCTCTCTGTTCTCTCTCTCTCTTTGTTCTCTCTCTCTCTCTGTTCTCTCTCTGTGGGTGGTGTCTCTGAAGTCCCATATAAGGACGACACAGGACAGGAGACAGGAGGAGGAAGCGCCACAGACACTATCACACTAAGTACTTCCTGTTTACTGCAGACGCAGATGCGATTGTGAGGCTCAAGCATGACAATAATCAGACGCCTCTCCCTCTCCAGCCTCAGTCTCAGCCTCAGTTCATTATTGCAGCTGTCAAATCAAACAACTCAAACTCCCGTAACAGTTTAAATGAGTGGCACGTGTTTCTCCAGCGTGTGGTTCAGTCACATTGTGCTGATAAAACACGGATTAACCAGGGAGCGTCTGAGGCTGAAACCACAACACAACAACTGCTCATGTGGCTCTGACGCTACACACGAAACACACACATCACACCAGCAGAATGACAGCGTGACGAGCCGTGGAGCTGTGTGAGGTCTGACCTCAGAGTTGGGGCTCCGAACCTTTAGAAAGTCGTGAAAAATATAAGGATGAGGATCATGTCCATTATAATGTGGTCCCGCTCTCTCTAGTCTCTCTCTAGTCTCTCTCTAGTCTCTCTCTCTAGCCTCTTTCTCCCTGGTCTCTCTCTCTGGTCTCTCTGCTCTCTCTCTCTCTTTTTCAAAAGCAAACCGGTTGAAACGACTCGCCAACCTATGCCACATTTGTCTCAGATCGACACATTTCAATACGGGTCAAAAACACAGGGAAACCTGACAGAGCTCTGACAGCAGACGCTGCTCTCTCTTGCCTGGAGACGTCACAGCAGCAGCAGGACAGCGTGCTCTTAGGTCAACATTCTAGAATCACATCCTGTTTGAACAAGAGCCTCCTGCTTTAATATCTCTGATCTATTCTGGACCACGTACCTCTGGTCACTCCCCCTCTCTCTGGTCTCTCTCTCTCTGGTTTCTCTCTCTCTTCGGTTTCTCGTTCTCTGGTTTCTCTCTCTCTCTCTCTCTCTCTCTCTCTCTCTCTGATCTATTCTGGGCCATATATTTATATCTCACAGTTATTTTGGGCTTTGTCAGACAGAGAGCTCACTAAAGCAGGTCTGGACCAGGTCTGGACCAAACCCAGGGGATACTGTGGAAGCCAATGTTGACATGTGAGTCGTTCCCATCCGTCCCTTGTGCAAGTGTCGACAACCTATATTGTCCAGATCACTACGTCACTTTAAAGCTGGGTTCTGTAACTTTCAGATCACAACAATAACAGTTTGCTTCTATCACTGGCAGACCACAACCTGGTGTCCTGTTGTATTTTGTTCACAACATTTTACCTTGAGACTCTTTCTGTTGAAAAGACATGTTACTTCGGAAGCTAAAGAACCCCAGCTTTAAATCCTCATTATATCAGAGTGGAACTCACGCTGCAGCTGACAGCTCTGACACAGTGTGTAGAACGTCCTCATCTCCTCCAGGGAAATACACACAAAACGGTTCATCTCAGCGGCTCCAAATCCTGGTCCTGAACCTGGACTAAACCTGAACTAAACATGTACTGAACCGGATCAAATCCTGGGCTAAACCAGGTCCAAACTGAGTCTAAACCGGCTCTAAACCTGAACTATAACTACATTGGTTTCTGCTGCTCGTCTTCTCTCATTAAACAAACAGGGGGTGAGAGAGGAGGATTAGAGCAAGGGAGGGCGGAGCCAAAACTAACATATAAAGTTGGTTTGTTTTACATTCTGACAATGGTCTCTCACTCTCCGGTCTCGCACTCTCCGGTCTCACACTCTCTGGTGGCTCTCTGGTGGCTCTCTGGTGGCTCTCTGGTGGCTCTCTGGTGGCTCTCTGGTGGCTCTCTGGTGGCTCTCTGGTGGCTCTCTGGTCTCTCTCTGGTCTCTCTCTGGTCTCTCTCTGGTCTCTCTCTGGTCTCTCTCTGGTCTCTCTCTGGTCTCTCTCTGGTCTCTCTCTGGTCTCTCTCTGGTCTCCTTGACAGAGGCATAGTGTACCCCAGCTCTAATTTACATGCTCCAGCTTTAAAGTCACGTCCCCCAGCTTTATCTCATGATTGCACACTCTAAAACAGGACAAACCACACATTCTCAAGATAAGTTTTTGCAAAAGAGAAAAATATTAGTCTGACCTGGTCTCTGGGCCTGGGCTCTCACACAAAGGCAGCACAACATTTCCCTCTGAGATCCGGACAAAAGTGGACTAAACCAGGTCTAAAGCAGGACTAAATCAGGACTAAACCAGGACAAAACATGTCCATGTGGAGAATAACATTGTATAGAATGCACTAGAGAGATCGTAGGAAACCGGCAGCCATATTGCGTTTACCAAAGTACATGTTAGTGCTATATAAACCAACCATGGATCTATAATAATAATAGGATAGGGCATTACTAGCTGTCCCACCCATGGGCAGTGGCCCGTGGTACTGCAGAATAAATTCAAGTGGGCTACCTAGAAAGAAAATCCCATAGAACTCAATGTAGACTAAAACCACTCGACCTCGGCTGACAGAGAACCTACAGCTTTCACAAAGGTCGGATTTTATGGGGATTTTAGTGTCCCTTGTCATCCTGAACTTTCTTCTTCTTAAATACTTCGGTTTTCTTTAAATCCACACTTTAGTGCCACAAACTCTGCTCGTTTTCCTCCTGCTCTGATCTATTTGGCGCAAAGCATCATCGGAGTTCGTCCACTACACAGAACCAGGAGGACCAAACGACTCCAAAATATATGAGTCTTCCGCTAATCTCTCGGTCCCCGTGGCGGCACATGCGCTACTGAGCAAAAGCCATTGATTTGAATAGGGCACAGGACTGGCCTCCTGCTGGTCCCAGAGCCAGGACTAAACATTTCAGATTAGAAATGTGAGGCAGGCTTATTCTCTGATAACGTTCAAATCATGGTTAAAAACAGTACCGTTTAGCTGCAGACAACTGAAGGATTGTATTTTCGTCATCACTCTTTTTAATGCGTGCTCTATGATTAATCATGCCTGGTATTTTTGTTTAATCTTGTTTTGTTAAGCACTTTGAGTTGCCTTGTGTATGAACTGTGCTATACTTATAAACATGCCTTGACTTTCCTTGCCGACTTATGTTTTAAAATGTGCCAAAAACAGGCTAGAGACAACTACAGACAACTACAGACAAACACACTTTGCTTTTATCATGGAAATCTAACATGGCAGGTCACAGGATGTCACAGGTGCTTTGATTGGCGAGTCCAGATTGCTTGAGTCCAGAGTCTGTTGCCTTTTGCTCATAATCTCAGCAGTGAGTGGAGCTAAACACAACTGCAGGTCATGAGGAGACTGTTAAAGATCCATGATTGACATGATTGTTGAACTTTCATGTTGTTAGCTGTATTTGCATGATTTTTTTAAGTAAAAGGTAACACCAAGATGGCTGCCGGCACTGTTGCATGCTCCTACAGCAGTGAGGTCTCTAGAGCCTCCTGAACGCAGCTCTATAGTGTGGAGTGTGTAATAAGTGACTCAGTGCAGCACATGATGACACCAATGTCCACGAGAACCTTAAAGAAACAGCTATATGACAGCTTAAAAGAGACAAAA